AAAATTCCAAATTAATAAGGCCTACAGTCCACATGAACTCGGCAGAGTCGTATGCTTTCCGACCCGAACTCGAGTGAAGACCCACAACTCCCGCCCCTTTCCCCTGTAGTTGAAAGTTGAAACCTTAATCAGACGGAAAATCTTTAGAAGTCAGTCGTAGTGTTAGGGTAAATTGAGAGAAGGAAGATGCCTCCTCTGTCGTTGGACAAATCGGCAAAGTATTGCCCTTCTCCAAGCTGTGTTCCTGCTTTAGAGTCCTTGTCGCTAGATCGGAAATTTTAATGGGATGGGGGAAGAGAATAGGATGTATCAAAGTAGAGAGAGAAAGAAAATAGTGTAACTGATTAGCGTATTTAGTGGCTTAGGGCTAGGAAGTAACTAAAATTAAATATTTTGCTATAAACCTTAAAAGGTATCTATAGAATATAATTTTTTTAAATGGTATTTATTTAAAATAAATAAGGTGTTAACCTTTGCTATAGGAGGTAAAAATTCCTAAATAATTCGGTATTTCGGTATACCAAATATCGAAACCTCAATACCTAGAATTGTACCGAAATACTCAATAACCGAAAATTCTATATCGCAGTAGTACCGAAATACCGAAACCGAAATAATTCGGTCTGGTATAGAATTCAATTTTTCGGCTTTTATGCACACCCCTAACTAGAAGACAATTAATTTATGTTGGTCCACTAACATGAATGTGCATAGATAAGAAAATGCTTTACTCATAAACTATGAGACCAACCTAATTCCTAAACGAGTATTGGTTGCTTTATCTATCGAGCTGATATTGTCACATGCTTGTATATACATATATAGAACTTATCATAATACTTTTGAAACAAGAAATACTTATGCACGAAATCTACTCAATTTTCGGGAAATAACAAACTTGAATTCGACAAGCATCTCATTTTTATTGGTAACGAAGGAAAATAGGCCCAAGTTGGATGGGATGGGATCCGGTCCAGTAATATATTCTCCAGTACTTTTCAATAGTACTTTTGATACATGCCACGTGTGAAGTTTAAGTTTGAAAGGTCTGGATCTACTTTACTATCCTTTTGTTATGTTTTTTATTTACTTTATTAAATGAATAATGTTTAGGAAAAGTAAAAAGAAAAAGAAAAACGGCAAGACCAATATACTAAACTGCAATTGCTTCTCCTTCCTTCAACTTCCAGCCTCACTTTGATGGACTTTGTCTTCTTTTTCCAAAGCCTATTTCTTCACGCATAGACGCACTAATACTCCTTGAAGACCTCAAGAAAAAAAAAAAATCACTACATTTTCAAAAATAAAGTTTTCACCAAACTTAAGATTAATAGATTGGTCAATTTATGTAAATTTAGGTATATATATTGTAGATTATATACGGAAAATTGTTGTTTGTTTGAGAAGGGCAGCAGCCTAAACATATTTTGGCCTCGGTAACAGCAATGGCTTTGCAAAGCTGAGGGGTAGCAATAGCACGGAAGATTTCACCACTTAATGGTTGAAACTTGAAAGGGCCCGGTTAATTTCTTTGGTCCAAACAATATCTTGTTCTTTTTTTTAATTAAATAAGTTTTATTTGGGTGAAAATCATTTACCCTCCCCAATTTTGTGTTAAAAATTAAACCCCCCTTCAACTTTGAACAATAATCATTCTCCCCCCTTTATGGTTTTAGCTATAACTTAAATTATGTAATATCTATTATAAATTGTAATTAGAGTTCATTAAAATTATAAGTAGAATAAGTAACAGAATAAGTAATCAGAGTCAATTAAAATTACCTTATCTTTATGATTGTTATTTAATGTAATGCATATTAAATATATATTTAAGTTATATTTTCTTAGCGACGGAGCTAGAAATTCATATAAGAGGATTGAAAAACACCTCTTTTTTTTTTTTTTTTTTTATTGAGCTTGTGAGCTAAGATAACTTGGGGGTATTTTTTAATCCTCTAATATGAAAAATTCGGATTGAACTTGTGAGCTAAAAAATTAAAATTTGTGAGCTAAGAGAACAGAGTTCATTAGTTTCTTAGCTCACAAGTTCAATCTTAGTTTTTCATATAAGAGGATTGAAAAACACCCCAAGTTATCTTAGCTCACAAGTTCAATACGGGGAAAAAAAGGTTGGGGTGTTTTTCAATCCTCTTATATGAATTTCTAGCTCTGTCGCTAAGAAAATATAGCTTAAATATATATATTTAATATGCATCACATTAAAATAACAATCATAAAAATAAGTTTTAATTGACTCTAGTTACTTATTCTACTTATAATTTTCATGAACTCTAATTACAATTTATAATAGGTATTAAATAATTTAAGTTATAGCTAAAATCATTAAAAAAATATCATATAATAAAAAAAGTATTGAATTGAGGAGGAAATTAAAAGTTCAAGGGCAAAAAAGGCACTGTATAGGATAAAGGGGGGAGAATGATTATTGTTCAAAGTTGATGGAGGAGTTTGATTTTTAACATAAAGTTGGGGAGGGTAAATGATTTTCACCCGTTTTATTTATGCATAAAGAATTTAAAAATAGTTGAATAAATGTTAACAAATTTGTCGAATCCAAGCCTTTAAATTCTTAGCACACACGTGGCATGTATCAAAAGTACTATTGAAAAGTACTGGAGAATATATTACTGGACCGGATCCCATCCCAAGTTGGATAGGGCAAAGATATTGTTGAACAATGCTAACTCAAGTGCTCTGATTTTTTTCAACAAGATTCACATCAAAACGCATAGAATCAAAGTAAAGGTAAAAGAATTGTGCTCTGCAAGAATTATAACATCACAATATTAAAGGGTGGAAAATGGACGATTGAATTAAATTTAAACTGATTAACACGAAGTAAATCAATAATTGAGCGGTTTATTGACTCGCCCAAATTTTACTTGGACTATGATGGACAAGTCAGGATGAACTAAATAATGAATCATATAAATTGTATCGAAGGGAGTATCACGTATTTTCTACCAAGTTAACAACTATATACTAGTACGATTACTAATGAGATTTTTACATATATGTACTACATTACAAACTTATTTACTCTCACTATTTAGGTTTTAACTTAATTACAATTTGATATATAATTTACCAGTTTTACCCAAATAAATTTTAAATGAGTATCCTTGATTATAGCCTTTTAATATGAAAATCAAATTTCACAGATATACCGGTTCCACAAATCTCTCTCCTCGCTGTCTCTATTTTCTTTTTTTTTTCACCGACTTCATATATTAGCTACTGATTTTATGATTCTCTATTCTTTTGCGTCGCTCTGTCTGTGCTAGGATGTTATTTCATTCATTTTTCGTAACAAAAGCAAAGTGGTGCAAGAGTTGATACCTTTTTGTTCTCCTTCTACAGTTGCTCTTCGAGCGAGAGTCTTTCCAGAAAACCAAGGCTGAAAAAGAGTATGTCCTCGGAGGCTTCTTTCAATCTTTATGATTCTCCTCTCTTTTCTCGTAAAATGTTGCTTCAGAGAATTCAATAATAGTCTTGATATCGTCACTTATCACATCGAACCAATCATTACTCGCTGCCCCGCCAGCCATTAAAAATCATCAAAAGCTTCGAAACTTTAATTTTGAATTTAATTTATTTTAATTGAGTGTTGTTGCAAATGATTGAAAATATTCTTTGGATTTTATATTTTACTTTTGAGGGTGTTTGGTGAAGAGTAGAGTTAATTTTGAATGACTTTTCATATTGAAACTCGAAAAGATGTATTATAGTTGTATGTAAATATTATTTTAATTGTATTATGTTGTAGTTATATTTTTTTTATTTGAATGTTGTATGAAAGTTGCAAAATAGTTATATAATGTATGAATCGTTGTCTGAAATTTTCTATTTAAGTTATAAATATTTTTTTACATAAAGTTATTGATCTGTATCAAAATTGTATTAAGAGAGGGAGTTTTGATTGGAATTTCATAGAAAAAGAAGAGCACACGACATACAAAATAGTTACAAAAGATATATTTATTTAAAATTTATATGAAAATTGTATTTAAGTTGTATGATGTTATAGTTATTTTAAACTGGGTAAAAATGATGTATGAAAGTCGTTAATAAGTTATAATAAGTTGTATACTATATAATTAGTTTGTATAAAATTTCTAATTAGTTATTGTACATGCATCAAATTTGTATCAAATTTGAATATTTCCGCATTCAACTTATCTGGTTTAGGTACTTCTATTGTCAGTGTCTCTATTGCTTTGGTTTGACGCTACTTTTTGGTTCAAGCTATTAAAATAGTTTGTGAACCTAGTCCGGTAGGGTTTTGTCTAAGAGAGCTAGGGGCAATGTCGTGTCTTACTATTTTCTTTTTCGACGTTGGATCCATTTACTAACCACCGTTTTTGCTTTGCATTTTTCTTCTGCATTTTATGTTCCTATTTTTCCTATGATCTCCGTGATGAATCTAATATCCTCTCCTTTTGTCTTCTTTTTATTATCTTGAGCCGAAGGTCTTTCAGAAACAGCCTCTCTACCCCTTCGGGGATAGGGGTAGGGTCTGAGTACACACTACCCTCCCCAGACCCCACTCGTGAGATTTTACTAGGTTGTTGTTGTTGTTTGTTCTTAGTTAAGTCTTGAACTATTTTACGTTGTTGTGGTTCGACATTATTTGAATTGCTATTCTATAGTTAAGGTACTATTTGAAAGAGGAGAGGAGATAAAAAAGGAAAATAGTGTAACTGAATCCCATAATATAACGCACTAATAATGGATTGTATATGGATAGAAGCCGTAGAGAATAGAAAAAGAGGTGAGGAGAGGAGAGAAAAAAAAGGAAAAAAATATTAATACTGGATTGTATATAAATTGTAAGCAATCCTTGTTTAGGGCGGGTAATAGACAAAAATCCCATTACTATTTAGTCCTAGGATAGAGAGACTTGGGCCTATTGGGCTTAGACTAACAATACACAAAGTCAGAAACCAACCAACAAGCCCAATTAACGTTTCGTGGATTAGGGCTTGATTCAAAGGGATTACAAAAGCTTTCGTCTCTTTTCTCTATCCATTGAAGACGTCAACGATAAGCAGCAGCCGCGGCGGGAAGCGGAAGCAGCAGGCGGAGCAGCCATGGTTAATGCCTTTCTCTAGACTCTTCCAGTAGCTTCTACACTCTTTACTTACACCATTGATTTATTATGTTATTTTCTGTTATCTTCAGGGTATCGATCTAGTTGCGGGAGGTAAGTCGAAAAAGACTAAACGCACTGCCCCAAAATCCGACGATGTTTATCTCAAGCTTCTTGTTAAGGTTTTTCTTTTTCCTTTTTAAATCTTCCGTCTTTATAAATATATTGCATTTTTTGGATAGTGTACTGAGAATTGTATGGCTAATTGGGTAATGTAACAGCTGTACCGGTTTCTTGTGCGGAGGACTGGGAGCCAGTTCAATGCGGTGATACTGAAGAGGCTGTTCATGAGCAAGATCAATAAAGCTCCCTTGTCTCTATCACGCTTGATTACTTACATGAAAGGAAAGGTAATTGTTATTCAGCCCTTTTAGCTCTGTTTTACCTTACTGATCTATGAGTTTAAACTCATTTACCGTGATTAGTTGTTAGAATGTTCTTGCTTATTGATTTTAATGTGGTTGTTCTGGTCTGAGTTAATTTTGTTACTTGGATAGCTTACACTTGCTGCCCATTAAGGGGTCCTTTGGCTCAAGGACTAGTTATGCAGCATTTGATTGCTAGACAGTGAATAATAATATGCTGTGAATAGTAGTAATAGGTTCCATATTAAAGTCAGAATAATCTTAATCCTTATATTGTTGATACACATGTTCTTGTTCCTTAATTCTATCATGTATAAAATAACTCATAGATTAGTTATATAATGCAAAGTTTTATTCCTCAAACCGTTCAGAGTTTTATGCCAGAAATTAATTGTTTGATTAATAATGTAGATTTATATACGGGATTAGTTCTTCTTATACAACAAAGCAAACAACAGCTAGTTGTTACTGACGTACTAAATGGTTATTTTGTATTTTCTTTCTATATGATAGGAGGACAAGGTTGCTGTAGTTGTAGGGACTGTTACTGATGATGTTCGGGCTTATGAAGTCCCTTCGCTCAAGGTTACTGCACTGAGATTCACTGAAACAGCTAGAGCTAGGATTGAGAAGGCTGGTGGAGAATGCTTGACCTTTGATCAGCTTGCTCTTAGAGCTCCTCTCGGGCAGAACACAGTATGGAACTATGCCCCCCATCAGTTTGTGTTTTTATGGGTTTTCTTGTATTACTATAAAGTGAGGTGTCCTTAGAATTGTGCTATGGATGACTTTTTTCTGTACTTGCATGGGAAATGATTCAATCATGGTAGAATTTTGGGTAGTGAAGTTTGTCTTTGAGAGTAGGAAAGTGGTCTGTATGGAAAACATGCTGCTTTCTGCAATTCATTGATTGCCATTAAAGACCCTTTTCACCGCGTCTATGCTTTGTTGATATTGTTGTCTGTCTTCTCTCAGGTGCTGCTTAGGGGTCCAAAGAACTCGCGGGAAGCTGTTAAGCACTTTGGTAGAGCTCCTGGTGTCCCACACAGCCACACGAAGCCTTATGTTCGGGCAAAGGGAAGGAAGTTTGAGCGAGCAAGGGGGAAAAGAAAGAGCAGAGGTTTCAAGGTTTGAGGAATTGCGTATGTTTAGTGCACAATCAGAATTTTTTTAGAAGGTTTTCTCGATCTAATTTTTTTCATATTAGCTTCTTTTTCTTCTTGGATTTCTTATTTCATGCCTGTTTCTCTGACACTCCAACTTATAGCCAATTTTGAATGCTTTTATTATCTATTTTGAGAAATTAAGCCGCCTTTAGAGGGATTTCTTCAACAATCAATATTTACAAGGCTATGCAGGAAAATGATGCAATATGAAGATCCCATTTTTTTCATTTAAGTTCTTTTATGCTCTGATAGCTGTGCTTAAATGATTGTTTTTCGGTGATGAATTGGGTGAAAACGTTGAAAATTAGGGTTTATATCTCAGTAGAGACTAGAGACAAAAAATTATGGTGATTTCTTTCCATCTACTATGAGTTTATGCGGACAAATCTTTTTTGTATTTGTATTAGTTGGAGATATCAAATATCTGATTGGACTAGTTGAGGCTCAAACGAGCTGTTTTGGGCACTATTGTCATTGTAAAATGTTTGATTTATAGTTTGATGAATATGGCCCTGTTCTCCATGCTTCTCGATGACATTTGGTTGAGGTATCGATGTGCATGCTACAATGATTTTGTCATTTTGAAAAAACGTATGTTGGGTGAACGACCCTTCCGATGATTAAGTTATTTGTAATAGAGAAATGGCGGAGGTTATGAAATGGAATGTTCTATTTGAATATGTAGAGGCGAAAAAAGCTGGTGCATGTATCGACTGAATTGGGCATGATAGAACGGTTATCAGTGCACTTCCAAAACGAGGAAATGAAATGGTTTGTGTATCTTAACTATATTCTAAACTTAAACAACATAACGTTAGTAATAAATTGATTCGAAGACATTGTCCTTGTTGCAATTCCGATTCGATTGGACAGGACTTTTCTCTTGTTTTCCTTGTTTGTTGATATGCAGTGAGTTATCTCATTGAAGAGGCGACAAAATGATGAAACCGATGGTCATAAAAGAATAATACACACATTAGTTTGTCGTGGAATGGAAACCAAAACCCAAAGCTAGATAAGTCTGTCCTTGCTAGGGTGGGCATATTTTGGTCGAAACCGAATAAACCGACCGAACCGAATTTGTTTTTATTTCGGTTATTCGATTTATTCGGTCGGTTTCGGTTTAAAATTTTAAAATTTCATTTTTACGGTTCGGTTTTCGATTATTAAGTTATTTAGTTCGATTAACCGAAAAATCAAATTATTAGCATATAGGTTCTTTAAGTTATATATAGAATAAGCCATAGGTAATAAATTAATACTATTAGGTCCAATCTATCAAAGACTCAACCCTATTAAGTAAATTCATCAACTTTCCAATCTTAAAAACTTTCACTCTATTAAAACTTCCATAGCATATATGATAGATACCGGGAGGATTCACACAGAGTTGTAATTTACACTATGTTTGAATTTTATAATCCATAATAGTGTGCAAAGTTTAGTCTATTTTTTTTTATAAACACAAAATTTCCAACAATTTCGAAGTTTTGGGAAAAAACAACAAATTCGCCGGTCCTATTATTACATGGAAGGAGTCCAATATGATAATGTTCAAACCGAAAATCGAACCAAAATAACCGAACCGAAATTAGAAAAACCGAGTTGAACCGAACTTATTTCAGTTCGGTTTCGGTTACTACTTTTACAAAACCGAAAATCGAATAACGAACCGAATTTCTTCAAACCGAACCGAACCGGCCGAACGACCACCCCTACCTTGCTGTTGCCGGCTAAGCTACTTGTTCAATTATTTTAGTACTCCTTTGCTCTTGAAAGGATTTTGAAATGCAAAGATTAATTTATATCTTAATGTACATTTATGGATGTCAACTTTAAGTTTTTAAAATAAAATTTATATATTTTAAAAACTAAATAAAAGCAATACAAATCATGTTTTTCAATAATCAAACTTGTTTAAAATAATTGAAAATACATTTATAAAAAGGTCAACTCTAAGACCATGCTTACTTTGAGTTGGAAGAAGAATTATTAAGGTTGGAATACCTACTAACCATACAAAAAATAATGTAAGGTCATCTACCAATTCGCTGCCTCTACTATTTTATGGGTAATAAAGTTCTAGTTTGTACAAGGACATCCCTGGCCAAATTGAATTCCAATGATCAGCCATACGAAACTAATCTATATCTATATTTATATTATATTAAAAGCACGATAACCTTAGCGAAATGTCGTTCACCTTCTTTACCCTTTAAAACATAAAGTTTCCATTGGACAATATAGTAATTTAAGTATTGTAAGATTTTTTGGTAAATAACCTTGAATTATTTGTTATTAAAATTTGCCTTAATTATTTGGTTACATTTTCTTCATGTTTCTTATTTCTTCACGTTTCTTACACAAGGAAACTTAATAAAAAAATTCCTAAACTTTCACTCTCATTAAATGACCTATCTCATTAAATTGGTTAGATTCCTTTTACTCTTTGGAGTATTAAATGAATTATTATGTTTGCCTTAATTATTTGATAAAAGATTTCTTTACGACTGTTACACAAGGAAAGTTCGGACTTGAGACTTAGATTCCCTTTACATTTGGTAAAAGTTGGGACTTGGGACATAAGGAAAGTTAGAGTATTAAATGTGCCTTAATTATTTGGTAAAAGTCTCTTCACGTTGGTTACACAAGGAAAGTTTGGACTTGGTTAAATTCCTTCACGTTATGACTTATATTTCGGTAGAAGTCTTTATTAGTTGGTAAATTTTTCTTGTCTTTTTGACCTACCCACAAATTATTTTATATAATTCATTTTATGTGTCAAATTGTGTACCATAATACTTATATAAAAGAAGCTAAAAGTCGCAATTTAAAATCGTCAAACTTCACTCTATTCCAACATCGCGATTTTAGGTTTTTTTTTTTTTTTTTTTTTTTTTTTACTAATATCAACATCTTTTGCTACTTCATATTTTGCTAGCACGTTTGCATGCACCAATTTTTGGTGTTGCATCAAGAAATTATCTTTAGTGTTGCATCAAGAAAATTTTATTATATAATGTTTTGTTTCATGTTTTGGACTTGGCTAATTTCGAATCTCAATTTTAATAAAAGTTATTGAACAATTGCAATTCATCATAGAAAATCGGTTAGACATTCGATCTAAGTCTTATTACTTAAATATTAGTATTATTTTTCTTTTGTTGTATAATTAATAATACATATTGCTATGCCAGCTCAAGTTGCTTGTTTTACAAAAAAAAAAAAAAAAAACTATCTCTTTCAATTATGTGTAATATTAATACTACATGATTTATAATTGTGTTATTTGCAATTGCCATGCTTGAATCACTCAAATTTCAACAATTACCTCCATTCAGGTAAACAATCTTTCTTATATCATAAAAATAATCATTTATTGAATTAGTCACTTTGATAACTTGTAAAACTCTTATGCATGCTTTATTTTAGGTACACCTGCAAGGGCCAGTGAAAAGGAATTGTCAGACCAATGTGTCCCAGTTAATAGTCTAAGAGTATCATATTCACGTTGGGTAATACGAGTATTAGTATTTAGGAGTGAAATAGTAAAAGAGTTCAACAATCTATGCTATATTAAAAGCACGAAGACCATTAGCAAAATGTCGTTCGCCTTTTTTGCCCTTTAAAAATAAAGTTCATATTGAATAAAATAGTCTTTTGATTATTCTCCTAATATTTAAAACTTTGACATTAAACTTTTCTTTATTTGAACTATATATATAAACTCCTAATATTTTGGTATTTAATTTAAACTCAAATAACATTTTACCTATATATATAATTCAACAATCATTACAGAAGGACCCATAATTCCTTCTTAAATGAAAACTATAAATAAAGAACCTGCATCAATTCGTGGCTTCTTAACCTAATTTACCAAACTAATGTTAATATAGTGTTTTCATAATAGACTTCGACAGTTACTCAAAAAATAAATAGATGAATAAGCCATCTGCATTTCAGATAAAAAATAATACAAAAAAAATAGTTTTTAAAAAACTAAACTCAAAACCAATTTCCCAGAATCAAATCAAAATCAAAATTAATACTTATAAATCTGATGGAGCTTTCGGACCTTCAATTTTAGGTAAAGAATGTTAAAGCAGATCTCTCCTTATAACTTATAATTTATTATGGCAATATTTACTTATAATTTATTATCGCAATATTTATTATTTTAGCTAAAAAATTATTTATCAAGATCCAATGAGTTAAATTAATATCCTTACCAAAAGATTTTTAATAAGCAAACTATTAAAATAGAAAATATGCCAACCTCTTTATTTGAAATTTTTTAATAAATTTTTAATATTTGATAATTCTTTGAAGAATCGTAATAAAAGTATTTTTGAATTTTATATTTATTTATCTGGATACACGCGCAAAGCGCGTACCTTAAGACTAATATAATAAATAGAGGTTATCAGGTTAGAAGATGTTTAATTGCAAAGGAGTTAGACAAAGCTAAAAAAGTTGGCCTAGTGAATATTTAAGATGAAGAGATAGAAGGAACAAACATATCAAGAAGATTAAAAAAAAATTCAAGTGACAATGAAGACCCAAGAACTCATATAAAATCAAAATTGAAAAGAATCAATGAAATAACATTGTCTAAATATTATAAGCTCCAACACTTTTTGTGCCTAAATTATAATTTTATTTTAAACAAGAACAACTTATACGGCATAATATTTAATTTAATTCATAATTTTTACTCGATTTATATTTTTTTGCTCAAGTTCTACCACGAGGATTATTTTAAAAAGAACATAATTTATTAATAATTTTTTTATTAACCTAATAAACACGTGCAACGCACGTACACTGAAACTAGTACTCCTTAAAATACTCAACATACCTGTAATAAAACAATAAAAGTAGAAGAACAATATTGTAGAGAAAGAGAGAGCAACTATTATTAAATTTTGGGATGATTTACAATGGGGTAAGACCCTTTATTTAAAGGGGAAAAATGACTTAGCCACAAAGTAAAACTCTGTACAAGATAGACATTCACTCTAAATAGAATTTTATTCATAACACTCCCCCTTGAATGTCTACTCAATAAGTAATGCGCCTCGTTAAAACCTTAACTAAAATAAAACCTAATCGGAAAAAAATTCTAGAAAAGGAAAAAGAGTACACATATTTAATAATACGCCTTTTGGTTTCCTCATTAAAAACCTTGCAAGAAAAACCCAGTGGGAAAAAACCTTGTAAGAGAAAGAG